CATCAGAAGTTTCAGGATACCATCCAATACCAATAACATGTGGGAAAACATTGAAATTATGAGTTTCAAAACGAGATCTCGCGAACACGAAACAAAGGATTCCATAATCTAAATGCAAACGTCCGGAAAACTCTCTAGCAACAGCCAACCGAGCCTACGTGACCGACCATGCGCACTCACACAGACCCAGAAGTACGGGAACGCTCACGCACACTCGCGCACCAGTGGTTAACTCGCACGCCAGGAGAAAAACGGTGCAACTGCCTGCGACCTTCACAAAGAAAACCTTACATCCGTCGCTTCTATGCCCCTAGAAATAAGGTCGCAAATACATTTAAGGCTTGAAAGGTTCATACTACGAGTTGAATATTGCGTTGGGCCGCTCGTTGCGCTAGAGAGTGCATTTATGGCAGCGGTCTTGAGTCGCCAACCTTTTTCACTTTGTTATTTTTTGCGAGAAAATAAACCGTTCGTTTAACGACACTGGACGGAGTTTGTTTAATTGAACTAGGAGTTTACATTGATTGGGACCGTTATTTAGAAACAGCTCGGTTGAAAAGTTAAATAAGTCTCTACAAGAGACACAAAGGATTATCTGTAAGTTCTGTAACATAGGATGGTCCAGGACTTGTTTGTGATTTGGTGGAGGGGTAATTTAAGAGAAGTTACTGAGATAATCATATATTTTATCAATCTACCCAGTGATTTCTCGTTATAATTCACTTTTGTATCAAACGACATTAGATACCCTAAACATGTAAAAATAATACAATCAATAACTAATTTATGGTAATAATTCAACATCTAAAAATATCTTGTATCGCATAAATGAATAACGTTTAACGAACAAAACATTCATAAATCTAATTTAAATATTTTGATATATTCGTCCATCTAATTTAAATGTTTGCTAACTTCGCATAGAAACAGTGTTTCTAAATAAAGGTGAAAGTCGATCGTTACTGTTCCAGAAAAAGGTTGGTGCTCCCTGTGCCTGGTAACAGGAGAATGAAAGCATTGCCTCGGCTACACACGAATTTCATCTCTATTCTGTAGAGTTTCAGGCACCTTTTCAATTAACAGACAGTTGTTATTGATCGAAACTTACGTGAAAAAAGTTCTGTACTTATCGCCTACAAACGATACATGTACTATTTTATTAATTGGCTTAAACTATCGCGTTATTCAAATGCGGACTCTATTTTGAGCCCGATAGAGGTCGTTTCAAATGGCCGTTTTGGATAGGTTTTTTAATCAGTTATTAAAAATGGATAAAAGATCCTCGCAAAGGAACAAAGGAGTTATTAGGGCTTTGTGAGGGAATTAATTTAAGTCAAACTGAGGGATTAGTATCGTAATCGTCAGAAATAGATCGTTTGGAAGCCTCTAAATTATTCGGGAGGCGTTCACGAGATCGTCGGATTTCGCTCGTTAGTTGAGGATTTTAATTTGTAATTGTTTCGTTTCAAGATAACGAGCAGTTGTTAAAGTTAATATTTAATGGTGGTTTACAGCGATTGAAATTGTAATTGGCGGTTATTGGACTTAACCTATTACTAGAGAGATAAATACAGATACATTTATTTTAATTGGGTTAAATATTATTTCAGTTGTAAAAATATCCGAATGATTTCAATATTTAAAACGTATTACCTACTTATTTATATCATAGGCAATCCAATGTACCCTTATTACTTGAATGAAGTCTCTACATAGAGCGTTCTGAAAATTTTCCATAAAACTTCTTGATTCTATATCTGTGATTCTATGAACTAGGTAAGTATATCGGCTTGACAATTGAAAGACTTTTATGGATTTTGTATTTTTGTTCAACAAAAGAAACCTTAATTAACGAGTTGTGTTAGAAAAAATTTGAAACACCCACCTAACACAGTAAATAACAATAAAAACATAATAATAGGTAAAAACCTGGCAAGTGCGAGCTTCACTCGTCTGCAGAAAATTCCGTACATTTTATTAATTTAATTCATGAATATTGTAATTACGTATTATTTCTAATTTCCTATTACCTAAATAAGGGTATCTTAACCGGGGCCTTCAGAACCCCGAGTGTAACAGTTTTTTATACATTTCATGAATTTTATTATACTTATGTCAATATAGCATCACAACATTTTTCTATCCACACAACTAAATTTGGACAGCGTCTATCAGATTGTTTTAAGCTGTAAAAAGGTTAAACGAACCTTATCAAAAATATCTCTGAAACCAAAATGAAACAAAGGTGTGTCAAAATTGTCTATGACAGCTATTGGCTGTCAGACGATTCAACCATTGGCTGTCAAACGTTATGTGTGGTTATGTGATTTTACAAAATAAAGTTTTCTAAAGCTGCACGGAACCCGAGAAACGTTTTGCCCACACAAAAAGTGAATTAATAACCTATACGTTTCCTCGGTGTCGATAAACTACGGAGTGACAGGTTCGACGCTTTGTTCGGGCACAATAACCAGCAGATCGTGTGTTTGTGATACAGCTGAATAGCGGCGGGATTGCGGTGATATAACGCGCTTAGCTCCAACAGGCTAAATAATAATCTATTCATGGATATGAACATGTCTTACATAGAATGAATGAATAGTTTTTATAAATGCTCTTTACAGATTTTGTAGTTAAACGATACAGATATAGAACTGGGGGCTCTTTCAAATAAGATTATAAGCCGGACTTCAGTCGTCCGTTTGCAGGACCGTACATGGAAAATTGCATGATAACTGCATTGGAATAAAAAAGACAGACGTGTGCGTGCAGCACAGACCACGGTCTGTGGCGTGCAGTCTCAAAGTTCGGCCGCTCAAAACGTTTTGAAAGAACCCTAAGGCCCGTTCACAAACATTACTATGAGGTCTCACAGTGCGCGTTGTCGCACAGGGTGACACATGAATCAATCACAGAACTATTCAACGCTGTGCGTTCGATTTGCTACTTTACTTAAGCAAGCATCGTTTGTGAATATGGGCGTAAGGTTCGTTCCCATGGCAATCCTGCTTTGCGGGATCTAGTAATGCCGGATCCCGCAAAATTGTACTGTCGGGTAAACACACATTATGTGCGTTTGAAATTCGAATTACAAATTCGAACCGATCGGTTTTGCGGGACACTGCAAAACAAACACGTTTACTACTAAACGGGATGCTGCAAAAAACAGGATGTCTCCGTGGGAACATGCCCTGAGACTAGTTGTTCACTTAGGAGTCATGCCCATTTTCACTATCAATTTCTTATTTTTAAGTGACCCATTTGAAAACAAAATTCCTGTTGTGTTACCATAGGAGTCCCTTAAAAATTAGGGATTGATGGTGAAAATGGGCACTAGGACATTGGTTGCTCGAATCGAATCAACCGAAAAATGTCCATCTGTACCTCTAGTACGAAAAACTTTCGAGTTCGTTTCGTTGCGTATTCAAAGTGTCATCGAAAAATTTTGTATGAAAAATTAAACAGCGCCCCCTATATTATAGCCGCCCTAGGGGGCGCTGTTTAATTTTTCATACAAAATTTTTCGATGACACTTTGAATACGCAACGAAACGAACTCGAAAGTTTTTCCTACTAGAGGTACTGATTTTAAAAACAAAAGAAACGTCACCGCGCCGCGTTATAAATGAAAACAACAGCATACTGATTCGGAGTCAGATTACGTCAGCCAACTAACTAACTAACTACGTCAGCCGTCAGAGCGAGCGGTCTGAGCGCTGCGGTCGCGCCAACCGCAGCCGGCCCCGCCTGCCACCGCGCAGGGCTACCACCGACAAATTTGACATTACTTATACAGATTTTGGTAATACAAAGTTGATCTTGAAAAATTATGCTTATCATGATTCATGAGTCTGAGCGTCATATTCAATTGTTAAGTACCAATATTCAGCAAATAAAAAAAACTAAAAACTTCACTTAGCGGGGAGGCCCTAAAAATCAGCTTCTTTTCATTGTTCATTTGTTTGATTTTGTTAATATTTAGTCAAGTTCTGAACGGACGAGTTAGGTAGTTACTAAATTAAAATTATTATTATCCTAAGTCAGGATATCAATTTTGATAGTTTATGTTTAAAAAAGTATTATTGTAAAGTACCTAAAGTCCATCATTCCCAAATTAAGCAGCTGTTTATTTTAAGTGATAAATCTATACTTATAATAAATCTGTAGAGAGGTCAATTCTGTACATGAAATATATTTTCAAAATAACTATGAGGGGGTGATTAGTGATCGATACTGATGCCAAAAATGCAATCAGTAAAATTTTTGTCTGTCTGTCTGTCTGTCTGTCTGTCTGTCTGTCTGTCTGTCTGTATGTTCCTTATAGAAACAAAAACTACTCGATGGATTTTAACGAAACTTGGTACACTTATTCTTCATACTCCTGGGCAGGTTATAGGATACTAAGGAATTCCCACGGGAACGGGAATTAGCGGGAAAATCCTTTTGTATGAAAAATCTAAACCGCTTAAGTTAGACGCTTGAAATTTGGCATGCGGGTACCTTAGTAAACTTAAAGCTTAGTTACAACAGGATATTGCAAAATTCCCACGGGAACGGGAGTTAGCGGGAAAAAACATTTGTATGAAAAAATCTGAACCGCGTAAGATAGACGCTTGAAATTTGGCATGCAGGTACCTTAGTAAACTTAAAGCTTAGTTACAACAGGATATTGCAAAATTCCCACGGGAACGGGAGTTAGCGGGAAAAAAAATTGTATGAAAAAATCTGAACCGCGTAAGATAGAATAAGGGGGGGTAAAAAGAGATCCACGCGTACGAAGTCGCGGGCGGCCGCTAGTATTCAATATTATTACAGATATTTATTAAACGCACTGGTTAATAAAATATGGAATTGATTTTATAAAATTTGTTTTTTATAACATAGTTTGAAAAAAAAAAAGATAAAAAGTTAAATATTATTAAATATTTCAAGTTTTATTGCCTTAAAATCATTGTCAACCCTATACATGTCGATAAGCGGGGGGCACGCGCGGGCGCGGGAGCGGTGGCGGTCAGTCGCACGCACTCGGCAGGCGAGACCGCACGTCGCGTCGCGCCGCGTTTTGCCCACAGCTGGGCGTTTACGTTACAAAATCGCGAACTCCGAGCTCCATTTGCGATCTACTGATAACCGCGACGCCGATTTCACTCGGAATTGGACCTTAATTCTAAACTCGTACAGTCTATAATTTCTGATTACCGCGCTATCACAGTTACGGAATTGATTGAACCGTGCGCACAGTGAGCGGACTACATCTTACTTTGCGGTCAAAAGTACAAAGATACAATGAATATCGACAAAACAGAGGAACTTATCGAAATAGTCCGCCATTACCCTATACTGTACGACACGTCACACGACGAATATAAAGATGGGAGACTAAAAAACAAAATTTGGGAAAGTATCGCCGAGTCTTTGCAGGAACATGATGGTGAGTTTTATTTGTTTTATTTATTTATACCTTTACTACAGCGGTCAAACTAGTTAGTTTACGTTTGATGGCGCCATGGCGTGGTGCGTGGCGAGTCGTGTAGAACCTAATAGGTCGCAGGTTCGATTCAAACGTAAACTTTTTTGATGAATCTGCATGTATTTTGGTGTGCTAAGTTGAGGTATACGAGACTGTGACATGATATGACATTAGAATAAAAAATAGATAGTGACGTATTATGTGTTTTGTATTATAGTAATACAAAATTAGTCTTAAGTGCTACAATACGACTTGAAAGTTGGTTTTTGTATTTTAATGTTGTGACGGACTACCGTCACAACATGAATCATCACACTATCACAATAATGCCATGAACTGTCATGGCATTATTGTAATATGTGATGTGTCAGACAGATGTCTAGATCTTACAGACTGGGTTTATCACTGTATAACTGAGCAAAAAAAAATTTTTTTTTCAGGAGATATCCCCAAAAGCCGTTGGAAGAACCTCAAGGATTCCTACAGCAAGCACCTACGAGCGGCCAAGGGTGAGACGTCCACCTACATCGACCGCTACCGCTACTGGCCCTGGGTGGAGCCGATGTCCTTCATGCAGCCCTTCATAGAGGGCATGCCCACGCGCGCCAACCGCGGCGTCAGGAAGCGCAAGCTGTTAAAGGACACCCAGAAAGCCACTGACGACTCACAGAAGACCACAGAAACAGAAGAACTGATGCCGATACCGAAAATCAAAGGAGAAAACACAGAATCAGAGTGTGAAGATCCCATCTTTGTGATAACGCAACCGGCGCCCGAACCCCAACCCCAACCAGAAATAGCTCAGTACTATATAAAGAACGATGTAAGTACAAACAGCATGAGCAATATGAACACGGCGGACTATGACGAGACAGACCTGATCTTCCTAGGGTACTCCAAGCTGATTAAGAAGCTGTCGCGGAGGCAGCAGGCGGCGGTCAAGTTCAAGATAGCCAAGGTCATAATGGAGGCCGAGCTGGAAGGGGAACCGCCCACCAAGAAGAAATCCAAACTTAGCAACGATGAACACAAGTCTGACGACAATTCTTAGTTGACACATGTTGAATTTTTAGGTTTTATTGTTCACACAATGTGTAAATAAACGTGTTCAATTCTAAAGAGGTCCATGATGCTCAAATAAATAAATAATTGTTTGTATGGGATCGACATTCCATAAATCGTTCATTTATTAATTCAAGAAGTGTTAATTTTTAGTTTACAAGTTGTGAATTTCGATGTCGATAAATTCGTTTATTAGTTTACTCTGCCAAATAGTGTAAATTATTTGTTAGCTATTGTTACCGTTATGTATGTAGGTAATTATCTTTCATTGTGTTATTTGCAATTAATTGATATCAGGGCAGGAGTAGGTACTTCCAGAACATATTAGTAAGACTTGTCATTACGATATTAAAGGTGGACCTTTACCTAATTTGCTCATTAATATCCGTTACTTAAACAGTTCCAGGTACTCATCATTTATTAATGTCCTTTCCAAAAGGCGATTATCTTTATGAGTTATATAAGATAATAAATAAATAATGAGACTGTCGGATAAGCTTTTCGATTGGCTGACAGCTGATAACTAAAACACAGTAAACTTGACCAAATTATAAATGATTGTGACATAAAGTCAAAGTCAAAGTCAAAATTTCTTTATTTGTTTGGACTAATAAATAGTTCTTACAAATCGTCATTTTGCTCTTAAGGAGCCTCTACATGTCTCATAATCTTTTTACCCTACCAGCGCTTCGAGACCAACATTTGGCAAGTGCTGAGAAGAAGCGCCGCAACAAACTCAGTCACCACTGTCTGCCGGTTAATATAAATAAATAGAAATAGTAGTAGTAGGTACATTCGATTCAGGAGCAGTTCACTGAATTTACCATGCATTCTTGTATGGTGTATCTTATAAGAATGGGTATACAAGATTGCGTGGTATATTAAACAAGGTAGTGACGTGCTAATATCTAGACTTACATATTAAGATACTAGTAGAAATGACTCGCATACATAAATTTGAATAACTTGGATTGACCAGTCCCCGAAAGCAGCGCCTGTTCACAGACATGACGAGTGAACCAGCCATCGCTTCACTCGACCATATTAGAGGGAATGTAACGACATGATACAGTTACCTATTATTGTAATTGTAATTGGTATTTTTTAAGTTTTTCGTAATGTTTTTCTTAGATTTCATAAACTTGTACAGTCAGTAGAAATTACAACTTCACCAATGACCAATTATACTTTGAACTTTATAGATACCAAGGAATTCGTAGGTCTACTGACACTGCACATAAATATTTTGTAAAAAAAAATCTTGATTAAAAAGTGATACCTACTTACGAATTGTACTATGATTTACCAACCACTGTTTATTAGCTCACTTGTTCCATAACAATGTTTTATTTAACAGAATAGACATAAACAGAAGTAAGTGATCTAAAAAAACAGCCCTAAGTCAAAATTAAACTTTCTTCACAAGGAACGAACACCTACTGTGATAATACGGTGACAGTCCGTCCCGAAACTCAATACCGCATGGATCCCTAAGCAGATTGAATGGTTACGTGACTAACCGGAGGGTTGCGGTTCGATTCCCGGCCGGGTCGCTTCGAAACGCGTATTTGTGCGGTGATTAATTCGACGCGGTGGATTACAAGGGCTTACAGATGATGTCTGTTTAGAAACAGGATAGTGTGAGGATATCATTTGCTATTGTCATAGATATTATGCCGATAACTGTTGTTGTTGTTATTATTTTTTGAATCGAACGTCTTTAACTTTTACATTGCCTCTTTCGATCTGGGTAGGTACTATAGTTCATTACTTATTTTGCCTACAAAGATACAACTTATTTAAAAGCTAAATACCTATCTTATTAAACTCTTGTTTTATGACGGCATAAGCTCACATTGCAAGCTTTATCGCTACTTTTGCTTCATGCCTGCTAAAGAGCCGATTCATTAAAAATTAACGCGATTAGCATGAGCCAAACTAAACGTTCTTTCAAAATTCAAAAGGAAACGAAACAAACTGCACAGTGGATGTTATCAAAGCTGTATTTATTAATGTAAAGCGATAGTTGGGGCGTTTTATGGCGCAGGCGGAAAGCAGTTAACAGAGTTTCGATGGGAAGTCGTAAAGCGCGGGCGGTCCTGTGTGAGCACGCGGGTGTAGCGTTTATGGTGGTTGATTTTGAAAGAAAGAAAGAAAGATACATTTATTACAATGGACATCACACAAATACAGGCAATTACATAGACATGACAGTGGCACATAATAATGGAAGAAGAAAAAATAAAAACAAGAGTAAACTGAGCAGTGCCACCCATCCCCCAACAAGATGCCCAAAGCAACGGGACCCCACTCAGCATATGCCGTGGCCCACGGTGACGAAGGCCACTGCGCTGGTTTTCAGTGTGCCCCATGCCGAGTGACGGTCACGGACCATTGGTAAAATAAATAAAATAAAATTTTGCTCGGAGGTGCTGAAGAATTTACTAATTTCAAAGTCTACTATAGATCGTTTCATCCACCAAGAAGCGCCCCATCATTCTTCCGCGAATGTTTGAGTGTTATCGGTACACGCTTTATTATCCATGAGTGCACACGCACACTACAATAATGAGGCTTGGATTGCTCGGATCAAACTCCCCGCACCCCGCGCTTCCCTCGACTAAAAATTGGTGGGGCGCGTCTTCGTGGATGAAATGAATGAGGCAAGAAAACGGTGCATCTATCTCTGTAAACCACAAACAAACCTTCATCTTCATGGCTTTAATTTTCTGCGACAAAAGGCAGCTTACTTTGTCCTTCTTCTAGATTCAATATATCTCCATGCTTACCAAAATGTATAAAGCTTTCTTCAGTGGGTTAGACATGAATGAATATCCGCTACTTAATAAAACTGCTTGTTGCTAATCCAAAATAGTTCCTTGTTAATGATTCCACCAGGCATGACGTAGGTAAGAATCGACATTTTCTTAAGACTAAGTATAGATTCAGGTATACGGCTTTATTATTGGTCTACGTATTGACGCAAGATTTCTTTTTATACTTTTGGTTTTTGTGTCCTGCGTATTTCTGTTAAGTATACCAAAATTGGTTCTAACGAGTTTCGGTCTCTTTATTCTTATTTAACGCCTTATACAACTTTAAAACGCTATAACAATCATTTACTCAAAGATTACTTACATAAATCAATTTTTATGCAATTTCCTAACCATAAGCGGGAGTATTGTTCCTCCTTATCAAAATGCGGTTAATTAATCAAACAAGTAATCTAATAAAAGTGGCCCAGAGCCCTGAATAACAATGGTTTGGAGCGACTTTCTAAAGGTCAGAAGGGCTCGCCGCACTCGCCCGAAGATTATTTATCACGTCCATCACAAACAAAAGTCTAAGGCAGTTAAAATACATAGAAGCAGCTTATTTAAATCAATTGCAATTTTCATTTTTAGTTTGCTCATAACGAATTCCAAGATCTCTCTGCAAGGCAGCAACACAGTTTTTGAAGAAACTTACTCATCAAACAGTCCTACAGCTGTTGCTATGGAGTGAGTAATGAAACTGCGTTAATTCTGATGAAGCGAAAAGATGAGGTGTGTTCTGCAAACTCTATATTTAGTTTTCTGAGACTTATGTTACCTAAAACATTTTCATTGTACACCACACTAATAAGTTAGAAATATTGCGAAACTATCTACCTATTTGAAAAGAGTTTTGTACTCGTGTGAAGAAAACTGACTATGTACCTACTTATTTAGATATTCTGAACTCTTTTCTTCTTAGGTTCTTCTATGTTTTGATTAAGTACGCTCATTACGAACAATAAGACAACGGAATAGGCTTAACCGATTGATATCGAGTTGAATTACCGATAATATTGTTTCAAAATGTATGATTTAAATGCTACTTAATGCTTTTACATTGATATGAGAAAAGAGGTTATTGTCAACAAAGATTGCTTTGTTGACAATAACTTACTGTTCATGGTCAGTGGTCACTGATGGTTCAGGAACGAAACATTTAGTAAAATGAAACAATAGGTGTATGTATCTCATAGGGTACAATAAAACGCAAAAGTGTAATAAAGAGATGATGTGTCATCTAGCAGAATGGCGTAACTCATAAAGTGTCCATATTAACCCAACTTAAAATGTCTGCCATTTGTAAGCCATAATAAAATATGCCTAGTAACACGAATAAAAACACATAGCTGCACAAGCTGCCAAAGGTGCAGTGTAGTGCACTTTTTCCTCACATGCATGGCGGCAATAAATTGCGTTGACAGATCGATCGGCGTTCGATCCTGACAGGAGCAATTTTTAAGCTTCGACAAATGTTTGGCATCGGCTGGAATATTTTTATTGGCGTGTTTGTCTTGCTTTGTTGGTGGCAACGTTCTTGAGAATATTCCGTATTTTAAGAATAAGATAAATGATTGCTGTTTTTATTTCTGACTTAAATTCAGATGCATTGCGAGATTTACGAGTCGAGCCAACAGCTTTCGATTCTGTTACAAACATTTTAAGTTAAGTTATAATGATATAATTTATATGTTTAGTAGTTAGGTAGATGCATTTTACTTATAAACTGTTAGGTTGTACATAAATTCTTATTTATATTACATAGAAAATTAGATAGTAAGTAGGGCTTAGTCCATATGTAAATGAATACTACCTCTCCCAGCGATTGGATCTTTACGGCTGCTATCTGGCTATTGTCTTCGGTCATGCACCTCCGCTGCTTTTCGAAGGCTTATGTCATACAATACTCGTTTTAGCGTATCTATAACGATCGTAAAAGTAGAAGGGAATTTCAATTTATTACCTCGGGCCATATTATTGACGAAATGGTGTTGAAAATTTAATTTTTCTTATTTTAGATGCGGCATTATGGGCCAAGTCGTTGAAAGACTCTAAAAAGACCCTATCTACATATCACACTATCATACTACGTGCTTACAAGTCAACAAAGAAACTGGGTTAGAGTGTAAAAAAATGTCAACGTTTGTGTGATCGAATCGAAATAAAAAGAGCGATCCAATAACTGTTTGCAAAACTAAAACACATGACGTTGCCTGTGATTCTCACGTAGAGTCAATTTGTGTGTGGAGATAATAAACTGAATTTATTCAAATACATAAAACATCGCGCATACTCTTTTCAGCAGTACACGAGAAAAGTGAAAGCCTGAATATCATGTTTTTATGCGCACGCAAGAGACACCTAGCAATATATTTAAATTATGTAGGATCTTATCATAAGCTCACACTCGCTATGCGAAGGTTGTCGCTCACAACAATATATTTTGCATTTTCTCCACCGATTTTAATATCAAACGCTTTTTATCGCGCGTTTTACGGCGTAAGCGCGTTTACGACCACTGCGGGGGTTCTTTGGCGGCCATAGGGGAGAGATGTAGAGTAACCCTAATCTTCAAACTCCGGAACCATAGGCATATGATTTGAAAATGATGCCTTATTGCTAGAAAAGTTTTGCCTGGATTACCTACTATGCAGGGCTGGATATGCGTGTCTCTCTTTCATAAAGTAGTAACATCAAAAAAGATCATCAAAGGTGTATCATATCGCCTTCGAAGTTTACCTTCGTTGACACTAGTTGGATAGATCTCACTGTCTTTCTTTCAAAATCCATATTTGATACAAATGTAGCGCATTTTATTTGTGCTATTTTGGCGGAGCTAGCGTTTATATGCGGAATAGAGCTTTCACTGACAGAAATCCTACTGTAATTTACTTCGACTGTAGCAAAGCCGTTTTAGTCTTGGGGTGTAAACGCCAGCTGGCTGATGGGTATTGTGTCACTTTAGCACGGCTGACGAACGACACAGTCGCCGATACGCGAGTAATTTGGATTGAGTGCTGGGGTGGAACGATTGCTAGGCAAATAAAATATGCTCATATTCTACACGGGTATAATGAAAAAAAATTGCAGGAATATACGATGGATTAAGATGGATACAGGTTTCAGACTTTTTGCCGAGTAGTTAGGACCTTGTAGACTGTCAGAAGCCGCAGTTTAATCCCTTCACAATATTGTTTCCATATTATTTAAATGTAATGTGGTTAAACTCATACACACGTTCGTTTTAGCCAAATGACGTCCACTGCTGGACATAGGCCTCCCCCAAGGATTTCCACTCACACTCATACAAATAAATATTCCGTTCGTTCTTTCGTTTGTTTCAGTCAAATGATATCCATTGCTAGACAAAGGTTATCCCTCCTGACAACTTAGCAACATAACTCTTATTTGTAATTTTTTACCGATTTTTTTATTTCTTACTTTACAACAGCAGCAGATTAATGGTTCCTAAT